AACATTTTGATCAAATCCTGAAGGATTTAAATATAAATAACAAGAAAAAGTTTTCCACTTTATCATACATTTTTTAATAGGGCTCTCTCTTATATATATATATATATATATATATATATATATATATATATATATATATATATATATATATATATATGATATGATATAATATATATGTGTGTGTGTATAATTTATAATTTATTCTGTATATGTATTAAATCAGCAAAAGTATAAAAGAAATCTGGTTGGAATTCTTTTTTCATCAGAATGCTCGTATAGGGACTTTATTGAGTATAATAGCTTTAGTTATCTATATTGTATATTTTTATAGAGGATCTGCTGACTTAAAAATACATTTTATTATATTCTCGTCATTTTCACACTGTTTACTTTTTTAGTTATTTTATTATATTAAATTATTATTGTATACATATGACAGCCGCTCGCGTTATTTTTTACGTGTGATGGTTCAAATATGTATCGTCAAAAGTTTATTCTTTTTTTAAGTAATACTTTTCATTCCCCATAATTTACCATAAAAATAAACCTTTTTTAAGAAACTAAAAAATTAATACACATATTATAAAATGTATTGAATATTTGTGATATATGAAATATATGTGTGTTGTGTATTGTATTTGAATATATTAACATTGTCATTTTGTGTTGTGTGTATTTGAAAATAATAAAATGTGTCAATTTCTGTCTTAAAAAACTCATGTCTTCCCTTTAATATCTTGTTTTATTTAATTTACTATTTTTAATAACTATTCAAAAATGGAATTTTTTTTTTTTTAATTGAAGTAAAGTTAATGATCCGCAGTAACGTTAAAAGGGCTGTGGTTTCTAATTTACCAAGGAACCATAAAGTGGTCTGTTTTTATATTTGTCTATATATATATATATATATTCATATAATATATATATAAATAAGTATATATATATATTATTCCAATTTTAGACAATGAATCATTTTTTGTAAATGTTCATTTTTTCTTTAATGCCATCATTAAATATTTAAGTGACTTCATTCTCTAAAAAAAAATAATATTTTAAAAAAAAAAAAAAAAATTCATTTAAATTTTATATCATAATGTATTTACCCATTTTTCGTTTTTAAAAATGCAGCAAAATTTTTTTATACATTTTAAATATATGCTGCTCTTTATGCGGAAAATTTGAATTGCATCAGGTTTATTTAAGGAAAATGTGATTTATATATATATTGTCTATTTTAAATATATTTTAAGACCTATTTATGGTTGAAAAAATTTTTTTGTAAAATTGTTTATCTATATATACACTCTCAAAATTATAAATGAATGTAACTGATTTCGATTAAAATCCATCAGATTATGAAAATGATGAAAAAAATTCCATTTTATATTTTATAAATATCAAAAATTCCATTATAATTTATTTTTTGAATTTTTGGGGAGGATTCAACGTTTTTTAAATGAATTAAAATTTACAACAAAACTTAATGATTTTTACTATTTTTTTAGAGGCTCGTATTTTGCTTCTCATTCAAAAATAAATAAAATGTGACAAATTTTACTGATTTATAAAATACAATGAAAAGAAATTTTTTCAATCCAGAAAATGATATAAAAATAAATAATTATAATATTTTTTATATCTGATATGCACAAACGTTTCTCATTTGAAAATGTGTTGTTTTAGTTCATTTTTATATAAATTTAATATATAACAACTTCCAAAAAAACATGCTGTTTATATCTTCCGTAAAAAAGCATATGAACCCATTTGTTATAATAATTCCATGTATTGTCATGAACCATATAAAATTCTTTTTTTCCCAATAAATCATATAATTTTCTTAAAGACTGATATTTTTATAGATATTTATAATGCATTAATTCGACATTTTAAAAAGTTTTATCCCTTTTCATATAAAAATTTTATCAAACATTTTGAATTAAAAAGATAATAAATAGGGACTTTATATCTAAAAATTATTTTTCAAAAATAAATATTCCAATATAAACGCATATGACTCAAAAAAAATATTTTTAAATATTCCACTACCAGAATAAAATTTGATGGAAACTGGATTTATTTCATTTCAAAATTCGAAATCATTTTTTTTTTATTTTAATTTAAAGTCCCGCTTTTTTATTGTCCATTTTTTAAAATAGTTTCATCTTAATACAAATTGTGTTTGAAATCTTTTAATCTGTCGTTGTAATTCATTACTAAAAGTCTTGTATATGGGAAGATTTTAGTTTTTAAAACATTCGCAAAATTGGATATCTTATGTATATTCAATATTTTTTTTTCGTCTCTAAAAATGTTATATCATAATCAAATAATGCATGCATTTAAACTTAGAGCCAAAAATAAAAATTAAATACAGAACAAACTATATATATATAAAATATATATTTTTAATAAAATAATATATATATATATACATATATATATATATATATATATATATATATATATTATATATATAACGATATAATATATATATATTAAAAAGAAGAGAGAAACCCGCAAACGTTTTTGGTTGTAATGTGGATTTTTTTAGAAAAAATATTATGCTTTATTTTCCATAATTTTGCTACACGGGTTTCCGGTCTCACGACCGTCATCAGGCAAAAGGTGGAGATTTCCACATATTATTAAAAATAATTAATTTTTTTTTTCTCTTTTATGCTAAATATTCTCGATATGAGACATTGTCTTTTTTTTTGTGTTAGTGACCCAAATGTCTTTCTTGAACTGGCAGTGAAAAGTTCTGCGTGAAAGGTTATAAAACAATTAAGATTGGTCCGAGAAATGGTGAAGGAGTTATCATATATTCTTATCTTTTAATGACCCTGTGTGTTCTTAGATCTATTTCCATGACACACAAAAATATATATATATATAATATATATATAAGAATATATATAACATTAGTGGTATTATAACAGATATCCCCATCTCCAGGATACACCCAAAATCCATCTTCATTTCGAGCTAGTCAACTAAACAATGCTGTCTGATCACCATACACGTCCGTAGTTGCAATGAGCCATGTGACCGACAAATCCTTTTAAAATCCAGCTACCAAGAATTATATATTCAGGCCTTGATCACCGTGTCCACTAATTCTTCAAGAACTGGCATTGGAAAAATAATTAGCTAGGATTATCAGAATCAATGTAAACATTTTAGATTCCGTCGTTTTTGCTATTCACCTGACCAACATAAGTTCTGAACAATCTGTTTATTAGCTAATGGCAAGAAAAAGCATGGCCTTCGTACAACATCAAAAATGAAAATATAGAATGTAAAAGAAATATTTAAAAACAAACGCATTAGGTTAGGTCTTATAATTATGGTCCGCAAAAGGTGTTCCCTCAAATCCCTGAAGCACCATATATATATATATATATAGTGTATTGAGGCATGAAATTTTAATTGATGCATATTTTTTAAATAATACACACAAGTTGCACATATTTTAAGGAAAAGGAATTACATATTGACACTAGTAAAAGCACGCACGCACATAATATACAAAATATACGGAAATAGATATAAGAAGATTATATATATATATTATATATATACATAAAACGTCATTATATATATTTATTATATATATATATTAATATATATATATATATATTATAGAATATATATATATATTATATTGATCCAAGAAATATTTATATATATATATATATATATATATAAATTTTATATTTATATAAAATTAATTATTTTAATAATATATGGAAATATCCGAAATATATATATATAAATATATAAAATAAATATATATATATATATATTTTAAAAAAATCCAGATTATAAAACGTTTATATTGATATTTATATATATATATATATATATATATATATATATATATATATATATATATATATATATAAAACATTTTATGGGTTTGAGGAACCTCTGTTAATTTTTCAAATTGGCCCTAAAATAGTTGTTTTTACTTTTAATTTTATAAAACTATCATGATTAAAAAAATGATACATGATTTTTTTTTTTTTTTTTTTTTTAAATTTTAAAAAAAAATTCAGTTTATGATATAATTTTTTGTACTAAATATCCAACGAAACAATAATGATTAAAATAATTGAAAAAAAGAAAAATAATCAAAAAATAAGTTTGATAAATGATTCCATTGTTTGGCAATGACTCGCTGGTTTTTATTTTATTTTATTTTTTTATTTTTTTTTTTTTACTTTCTTTAACCCTGTTCATTACATGTTAATTCAAGGGTTGCTTCAAACTATGTGTATGTATTTGCATATATATATATATATATATATATATATATTATAATTTAACTGTGGTGTGTGTATTGAATATATATATATGTATACGATTATGTATGTATATATATGTGTACATCCTGGTGTCAAAAGGTTTTCACATTTTCGTTCCAGTTACTTAAACAGGCTAAACGTGTGATGTTGGTGCGACTACACATGAAAAGGAACGAAACGATAGGAATTTAATTTTTTAAAGTTTTATAAGAATATAATATATATATATATAAATATATATATAATTTAAATTCATTTCATTTATATTTTTTTCTTTTACTTTGCGTATTTTTATCGTTATGATAAAATATTTAGTCTGATGAAATCCAGAAAAAGGATGAAATGGTTTCAATTTGTAATCTGCAAACCTTAAATATATATATATATATATATATATATATATATATATATATATATATATATATATAATATATATATATATATACTTCGAGATAAATTATTTCAAACAAAGGTATCCAGTAAAAATATTGTTTGAACGTAATAAAAAAAAACGGATTAAAAAATAAATCCATTAATTCTTTATATATAAATCTAGAAAGATTTTGTTACAAAAGAGTTCAAGTCATTGATAAGATGCCTCTTCAAACAAAAACAACAAATCCGATAGTTATGAATTTCTTCAGATTTTTTTAGGTGAAATGCTAAGAGCTCTTCAAAGGTTTCGTGTACATAGAGAGATAAAAAAACTGAGATAGATGAATTTTGATAGATTTGATAATAGAAACAGATTTTTCAGATTATAGATAGAATAGGGATAGATAGAGAAGATACATACTAAGAAACTCATAAAAGTAACGACGTAGATAAAATAGATAGAGATAAAGAAGACAGATATTAAGAAACATAAAGGCAACGAAGATGAATCTAGGCGTTGGTTAGATAGATACAGGAAGAAACATATAAATAAAGTAGATAGATAGATAAAGAAGATAGATATATAAGAAACACATAAATAAAGTAGATAGATAGATAAGAAACACAAATAAAGTAGATAGATAGATAAGAAACACATAAAGTAACGAAGATAGTTAAAATAGATAGGTAAGAAACACATGAATAAGGTAACGAAGATAGTTAAGATAGATAAAGAAGATAGATAGGTAAGAAACACATGAATAAGGTAACGAAGATAGATAGATAAAGAAGATAGGTAAGAAACAGATAGATAAATAAAATAGATAGATAAGAAACACATAAAGTAACGAAGATAGATAAGACAGATAGATAAAGAAAATAGATAAGAAACACAAATTAAGAAACATAGATATATAAGGCCTAAGAGCCAATAAAGGTAGAAGGTGATAAATAAATAGATAGATATATAGAAAGAAATGGGGAAAGATAAAATTTAACCCTAGACCTGAACAGGTTAAGATTATATTGATCAATCAAGCATCCCATTTTCCTTCTTTTCTGGGAAGAAGCTGCTCGATCAAACTTTGACTCACCAATGGAATTAAATTTTGGGGGTGGTTTGGCATGGGCGTGGCAGGGCGGGTTTTAGCCGTCAAGTTCAAACCAGACTCTGGAAGAAGGTGGTTCGTCCATCATGGTTCGTCCTTTAAAAAAAAAATACACAGGTGTTGAGTTCTGGGCACTGGTGAAAGGAGTTATAGGCTAAAAATAACCATGTCACCGACAAGGACGCGGAGACGGTTTTGGATTTTTGTATCCAGATGTTCTCGCGAATTCAAGACTGTTTTTTTTTTTTTGTTTGCTATCCCAAGCATTGTAATGAGAAAAAACACCACCGATTTACGAGCAAATCAAATATGACTTTTATTTTCATAAACAACCCAGAACCTTTTTTTTTTCTGCCTAATTAGCTCCAATCAACAGAATATTAAAAAAAAAACAACGCTGCATGAAATCCCAAAGATTGAACGTAATTCCAGTCCATTGTTATTCATTCAATATGGAAAGGTTTACAAAAAACCCAGTATTTACCCTCCCCAGCTATTCTTAAATTTATTCTTCAGATTCATTCATTTATTGATCGAATCTTTTATGAGAATGTTTTATAAGCAGGAAATGACAAAATTGAAAAAATCTGCCCTGTCAATGTATCTTTCTTTACATGAGTATTTCAAACACGGCAAATGACATGGAAAAGACACTTCCATTGAAAGAAAAAAACGAAAACTATTTCATTCGTACGCAATAAAATGCATATATATATATATATATATTTTCTATTATATATATATATATATATATATTGGCTCCCCTCTTGTAATCCCTAGCATGGCAATTACGACACTAATCAATCATGTGACCTTTTAATTTTACCATTTGAGACATTTTTCACCCAGACTTTTTGTCGTTTGCTAACAAGTCATCTCTACGTGTACGCATCGCAT